TGGAATATTCAGATTTCAGTTGGGGAGGATTGAAAAAAATAATTCCCCAAATGCAAACACTAAAATGACCTGGGCAGGGCAGCACTGCGTGAGCCTGGCCTGTGGTCCCTCCCAAGGCACCTGAGAGCCTGCCCTCCAGGCCTTCCACTGCCCATCAGCCAGGCCAGGTCAAATCGTCCACTTTTCATAAACTTATATCTTATCTCTGGGGCAAGATGGTATGCTCCTTGAGGGAAGCCATCATGTCTTCCACTTCTGGGCCCCAAGTAGGAACTCAAGGAGTCTGAGTTTAGAATTTGGGTGGGACGAGAAGTATCCAAGTGACCTGCTGCCCAGGTTTGCCCTCTTCCTATGGCTGACTGTAACTCCTTGGTTTTTCAGGAACCACTGGCATGAAAGGAGACATAGGGGTCATGGGACCTCCTGGAGCCAAGGGCAGTCAAGGTGACTCGGGGAAACCAGGCCCCCCAGGTAAGAGGCCGCATGGTCAGGTCCACTGGCCTGTAGGTATTCCCCTCCCCCCCTTTTTTTCTAGCAGGCTGAGCTAGAGAGGGGAAAAAAATCCTTAAAAGTTTTTTTTCATTTTAGGTGTGTCTGGAATTCCTGGAATGAAAGGAGATCAAGGTAAGAACTACAGGAATCTGGGCATCATTCCAGCTCCCACTGCGCCTAGGCAAAGTCAAGTCCAGCACCTGATTCTGCTATCTTCTATTTCACTGTAGTGTTAACCCAGAGCATCTGGGGTCTCTAAACCCTGGCCCCTCCTAAGAGGAACAAGCAGCATGCATAATTGATAGCCCTCTTTAGAGCTTCACCCCATTCTGCCACCCAGAGTTGGAGCTAGACATTCACAACCCAGAGTTCCTAATAAGTTCACGAGTCCCAGGCTGCAACAGTGAATGGAAACTATCAGTACATTGCTGAGACTGTAATTTTCCTCCCATTATTAGGGCTACTCCATTGCTTCTAAAGCTTCCCAGGGAACATAGTAGGTGTTGAGAACAGAGGTGTGTTTAGAGGGTGGCAGCCAGGCCCTCTGCCAACCACCCAACCTTGCAGTCATGACTTAACTTGCAGGACAACCTGGAGTGGAGGGTCTTCGAGGCATTCCAGGTCTGCCAGGCACCCCAGGTGCCAAGGGTGAGCCTGGCCGCNGCTCCAGGGGGGCAAGGAGCCACTGGTAACTCATGCTTCTTCTGCTTGGGATCACTGGGCATTGGCCCAGGCCCTGAGCCAGTTGTCCCCAGTATGCCCTTCCCTCGACTCCTCCCCAGGCCCAGGGCGTTAACTCCTCCTATAGTCCTCTTCTCTTGAGTCGTATTGTACCTTGTCAAGGTCACCCAAGAGATAAGCTAACAAACCCCCAGACTTCATCTGGGTACCCTTTGCTCTTGTCCCCAGAATGGTCCCTGCCCATCGCCTGGGAGCCCATCCCCAGGAGGATGGCGGGAGCCCAACTCATCGGCCATTCCTTTCTCAGGTATCCCAGGACTTAAAGGAGAGAAGGGCAGCAAAGGTGATGGGGGTCTCATTGGACCGAAAGGGGAAACTGGCGCTAAAGGAGACAAAGGAGACCTGGGCCTCCCAGGTAAGGGCTGTATTGGGGTGTTGGTGCTCACTGGGGACCTGGGCCCCCACTCTGGGCAACTGTGTCTGTTCAGTACTCAATGAGGGCAGAATTACACTCTGCCTACTGGCATCCCAGGAACATAGACGTGGTCCGTTTCATCCAGGTAAGTGCAGAACAGGAATCCAAAAGCTAAGAGCAATGCGAGAGGGGCAACAATGTCCTGCCAGGCACCATTGGTGGGAACTGGGGACACAGGCAGTGCTAAGAGCTTGGAGGAGAGGAAAGAGAGGCATTGAAGTGGGGGCCTGAGGTAGGCCTGGGGAAGGAGGGGAGCCTGGCTGGCAGTGAGGACAAAGAGGCTGATTCCAGAACAGGGACTTCAGAACACCCCCTTGATGGCAGTGCTCTCTCTAGAGCAGTGTTCCTCAAACTACGGGCCATGAATAAGAACAATTTGGGGTGCTCGTTCAAAGTGCATGTGAGGCCCAACAGTTGGACCCTGTGTTGTAGAGACCCTGGATGATTCTGACCTTGGAGTCCCAGGGGGCCATGCTCTGAGAGCACAGCCTGAGAGACTCTGGCCGTGACTGAGCCCCTTCATGATTCTTGCCACTTGGCCTCTTGTGGCCCCTTGGGGTGGCTCTGGGGTGCAGTAGGGGGAATGAAGGCTGCTGAACTAGCAGGCTTGGTTGCCATCCCTGCTCTGTGCCTGTTCACCTGTGTGACTAGGCATATGGCTTAGCCTGCTGANTGGGGAATTGGGGAAGGGGAACAGCCAAGTTGTTGTCCTTCAATCTTAGTTGTGGAGGGCGCAGCTAGCTCATCTCCAAGTCCGGTAGCCATCCAGCTGCCCATCGGCAGCTCACAGCTGCTCAGCTCAAGGTGCCATGTTCAATCTTAGTTGCAGGTGGGCATAGCCTACCGTTTCATGCAGGAGTTGAACCGGAAACCTTGTTGCTAAGAGTGCATGCTCTAACCACTGAGCCATCCAGCTGCCCATCGGCAGCTCACAGCTGCTCAGCTCAAGGTGCCATGTTCAATCTTAGTTGCAGGTGGGCATAGACTACCGTTTCATGCAGGAGTTGAACCGGAAACCTTGTTGCTAAGAGTGCATGCTCTAACCACTGAGCCATCCAGCTGCCCATCGGCAGCTCAGGGCAGCTCAGCTCAAGGTGCTGTGTTCAATCTTAGTCGCAGGTGGGCATAGCCCACCATCCCATGCGGGAGTCAAACCGGCAGCCTTGTTAGGAGCACGTGCTCTCACCAGCTGAGCCATCCTGCCACCTGTTGGCAGCTCAGCGGCAGCTCAGCTCTGGCGCAGCTCACTGGCTCATGTGGGAATCGAACTGGCGACCCTGTTGATCAGAGCTTGTGCTCTTAACCAACTGAGCCATGCGGCCGACCTGAAGAGAGGAGTTCTGAAGACAAAACGGCCATCCATTATACACATATCAGAAGGCATTTCATCAAGGGTCAGAAGGTTCTGGGAACTCCCGGACATGGGAGGGGCTGGGAGTTCCTCAGAGACAGGAAGGCCGGCTGTGAGCTGGTCCCTGAAGATTGAATGAGGTGTGTTTGAGGCAGGAGCATCAGTGTCACCCGGGAACCAGTTAGAAATAGAGTCTCAGGTCCCCATCCCAGACCCATTAAATCAACTAGTCTGGGTGGAGCCTGGCAAGTTGTTTTTTAACTAACCCTGTGCAGGTGATTCTGAGGCAAACTTCAGTTTGACTACTTGTTTAGGAAAAAGGGATGGCCCAAGGCTGGCTGGAAGTGTCTTTGGAACCAGGTGGACATCCCGAGTGAAACGCCAGGAAGCAAGCAGTGAGCTGGCAGTTACAGGGCCCAGTGGGAGGCCAAACATGGGTTCCAACTCCAGCTTCATCACTGCCTGTGTGATCCTGGATAAACCCCCTCACGTCTCTGAGTGTGGTCTTCCACCTCTGTAAAGCGGGCAATGGCCCTGCCTTGCAGGGCAGCTGAGAGATGGAAGGAGGCAATGTAGGTAAAGCCCCCTGCATAATGCCTGGCACAGTGCAGGCAGCAGCAGACACTAAGTCCCCAGGAGGGTTGGGAGCGAAGGTGTGAGAAATGAATGGGGGAGGGTGAGGCTGCAGAGACCATGAACCTAATGAAACAGTGTCTTCCATATGGTTCCTCTCTGTACAGGGTGTTTGTTGTTCAGTGCTTTGGAGACAGCTAGAGAAGGGTACTTTTTGGGGGGGGGGGAGAAGGGGACAATAAAGGGAGATCACAGTGCCTGAGGTCCATGTACTTTGCTTCTAGGGAGAAGCTCTTAAGGTAGATATTTCAGCAAATATGCACCCTCTATGATGCAAACAGAGAAAGTCAAGAGTCTAGATATTGACCGTTTTTCTATTTCATAACAACCAAAGATGTGTTTCTGAATGCGACTTAGCCTCCCTAATCTGGACACATGCAATCCAGATGCAGGTAAGCAGAGCTACCTCTGCAGGTGACCTCCCGCCAACAGCACACAGTTAGGGAGGCTTGCTAGGCAGAAAGCCTGGAGTTCATGAGGAAATTTCAGCCCCCATGTCTGAGGCACTCCCTGCTAGAGGGGAGACAGTGGGTGCAAACAGGCTCCACAGGGCACCATTTATTGAGCTCTTGACAGACGTGAGGCTCAGCAGTTGACAAAGACGACTTCATTCAAACCTCACAGCTGTCTCCTGGGGCAACCAGGAGACTCAGAGGAGGAAAGGGAATGGGAACACCTTGCTCAAGGTCACAAAGGTGGACACAAATGCAGGGTGTCCAAATCTGGCCACCTTGCTGTCTTGGGAGGAAGTGTGCATCCATGGGCGAGGCCAGAGAAGGCTTCACAGTAGGCGACATTGGACATCTTAGCAGGTTTTACAGTCTTTTTTTAAAAATTAGTTTCAGGTGTACAAAACAATGCAATAGTTATCATTTTCACCCCTCACAAATCCCCTCCCCTCCCCCCATCCACTATCCCCCCACCCCCGATATCATACATATCTATTACAATTCCATTGACTCCATTCCCACATTATACTCCACAACCCGTGACTCTACATGTATGAAATTATAGTTCACATATAATATTATTCAACATCAGCTTCAGAAATACAGTGCGGTGGTCAGGCCTCTACACCGACTATGAAGTGGTCTCCCTAACAAGACATGAGTCCATCTGGCCCTCTAAAAAATATTTACATCATTATTGACTATATTGCCCAGACTGTCTTTTCTATCCCTGAGGCCATATTGTAGTTACCAATTTGTATTGTCTCGTCCCTTCCCCTTCTCCTTCATCCCCACCCCTTCCCAACTAGTAACACTCAGTTTTCCCTCTGTGTCTCTGAGTCTATTTCTGTTTACATTTCTCGTTTATTCAGTTTTTTAGAATCCATGTATAATTGAGATCATATGGTATTTGTCTTTCTCTGACTGACTTATTTCACTTAGCATAATGTTCTCTAGGTCCACCCATATCGTTGCAAATGGTACTATTTCCTTCTTCTTCATAGCTGAGTAATACTCCATTGTGTAAATGTACCATAGTTTCTTAATCCAGTCATCTACCAATGGGCATTTCTGTTGTTTCCAAGTCTTGCCTATTGTGAATAGTGCCGCAATGAACATATAGGTGTGCATATATTTTTTCGGATTAATGTCTTGGGTTTTTTTGGATAAATCCCTAAGAGTGGGATTGCTGGGTCATAAGGTAGTTCCATTTCCAGTTTTTTGAGATGCCTCCATACTGATTTCCATAGTGGCTGCACCAGTCTGGAGTCCCACCACCTTTTCCCCACAACCTCGCCAGCATTTGTTGTTTGTTGATTTATTGATGATAGTCATTCTGACCGGGATGAGGTGGTATCTCATTGTGGTTTTTATTTGCATGCTAAGACTTTTTATCATAAATGGCTGCTGTGTTTTGTCAAATCCTTTTTCTGCATCTATTGATAGGACCATATGATTTTTATTGTTCATTTTGCTGATGTGGTGTATCACATAATTGATTTGCAGATATTGAACCAAGCTTGTGCACTAGGGATGAATCCCACTTGATCATGGTGTATGATCTTAATATATTGCTGAATTCTGTTTGCTAAGATTTTGTTGAGGATTTTTGCCTTTATGTTCATCAGGGATATTGGCCTGTAGTTTTCCTTTTTTTGTACTGTCTTTGTCTGGTTTTGAAATCAGGGTGATAGTGGCCTCATAGAAAGAGTTTGGGGCCTTTCCTCCTGGATTTTTTGGAATAGTTTGAGAAGAATAGGTGATAATTCCTTTTTGAATGTTTGGTAAAATTCACTTGTGAAGCCATCTGGTCCAGGGCTTTTGTTTGTTGGGAGCTTGTGATTACTGATTCAATTTCCTTGGTGGCAATCAATCTATTCAGGTTTTCTGTTTCTTCTTGAGTTAGCTTTGGAAGGCTGTATGCTTCTAGGAAATTATCCATTCCTACCAGATTGTCAAATTTTTTGGCATATAACTGCTCATAGTAATTTCTTAAGATTTTTTGTATTTCTGTGAAGTTTGTTGTCACTTCGCCTCTTTCATTCCTGATTTTACTAATTTGAGTCCTCTCTCTCTTTTTTTTTTTTTTTTGATGAGTCTGGCTAGAGGTTTGTCAATTTTGTTTATCTTCTCAAAAAACCAGCTCTTAGCTTCGTTGATCTTTTGTATTGATTTTCTGGTCTCTATTTCATTTATTTCTGCTCTGGTCTTTATTATCTCCTTCTTTGTACTCCCTTTGGGCTTATTTTGCTCTTTTTTTTCCAGTTCCCTGAGGTGTAAGGATAACTTGTTGATTTGAAATTTTTCTTGCTTCTTTAGGTAGGCCAGTACTGCTATGAACTTCCCTCTTAGGACTGCTTTCACTGAATCCCAGAGATTTTGGGTTGTGGTGTTTTCGTTTTCGTTTGTCTCGAGGTATCTTTTTATTGCCTCCTTGATCTCATTTTTGACCCACTCGCTATTTAGTAGCATGTTATTCAGCCTCCATGTATTTATGTGCTTTCTGG